CATCACAAGTAAATCACGTGGAAGTCACGGAGACAAGTTGAGCGTACACTGAGTGTGGTTGTACTGGGTAGGCGGTCTTGACGTCTATACAACCTATCCAAACTACCAAACACCAAACCAATGTCAGCGTTTGAGACATGTCAGATGTCAGCAAATTAGCAATCTTGTGACCGGCCCAGGTCAGATCGACAATTGTCTCTCTCTCTTTCCCTTCTGCGACTCATTTGGGCATTGTCGGAAAGGGGGACACTTGCATTCATGTGAATAATGTGTACACGAGCAGGCTGTGTCTGCAGCCATCGACTAACCCAAGTGCAAGGGGCACACGCAATCTAGGTTCTCAAGACCGACGGGTGATTGAATGAGTGAGGAGTAAGGAGCAAGGAATGGGAAGGGAAAGAATTAAACGTATGCGCCATTGTCAACCAAGGTGGCAGCGGGGAGCATCGTGCAATGCCGGCTGTCTTCACAGGGTGCAACAGCAACAGCAGCAACAGCAGCAACGGCAGCAGTAACATTAGTCCAAAAGCGAGCGCCAGCAGAGCGAAGCAGAAAATCAGTAGTATTAGCCGTAGCAGCAGCAACATGTGCTTGTCTCTGTACATACTGTATGTAATCATGACAGCCACAGTCGTACGTAAGTATGGCAACCACTCTCCATCTTCAATGTTTGGATGCCTTTGGGTGGGAGACGGCATTATGTTCATATTCGCATACGCAGCATGGACTTCCTTTATTATTTCTTTTCACTTGTTCTTTTCTTGCTATACGTAGGTAAGCAAGTAGGTAGGTATATATGTTTGTATGTAAGTAAGTATGTATATGTATATTTGCATGATGCGAGTATCGATTTCACCCACATACACACCTACCCACCACCACCACCACCACGACGTACGTTGTATGTGACATCGGCATATACCAATAGTACTTAGTTGCCGGGGGCGAGCAATGAGCAGCAAGCAGGTGGGCAATTGGTATGGATAGACGAACTCTGTTTCATTCGGACCCTGGACCTGAATTAGGCATGTATTTCGGTAGTCAAGCGACCTGGCCGTATGAAAATATAGACCATCGTGCAGACCGTCGAACGTGCGCTGAGCTAAGGGGAAAAGAATGAAAATAAAAATAAAAATAAAGAAGGTTTGATATCCTGATTCTCTGCCACCTTCCTCTTCGCTTCTTATCTTTCGATCTTCCTTTACTCCTCATCTCTCCTTTTCCTCCTTTACTTCTCATATCTTCAACTATAATCCGTCGCACTCATCGGACCATTGGATTGTGGCCGCTTCCTTCACGAAATGCCTGGCACACAGTCCAAGAACATAGATATCGTCGTCCTGGGCGCCACAGGCTATACTGGCGCGCGCACCGCGGAATATATCACCCGGAGCTTCCCCACGACTTTGCGGTGGGCCGTCGCTGGTCGGTCATACGAGAAGTTGAGGGATCTCGTCGAACGGCTGAAGAGAATCAATCCCGACAGGAAGATACCAGGTACTGATCTGATCTGATCTGATCGGGCCTTTTCTCGAGTTAGCAGAAATGCGTTACATTAGGAAATGAAGAAAGGAAAGAAAGAAAGAAAGCAAGAACGCAATAGGAGGGAAGGAGAGAAAGAAGGAGAGAATTGTCCACTGACGGCTTGTCTCTGCCAATATTAAATAAGCAGGAATCATCCCTGTTCGCATGAATACGGAAGAGCTAAAAAAACTGGCTTGCAAAACACGTATTTTGATTAATCTTATCGGTCCTTACTCTTTATACTCTGCTCCTATCGTTGAGGCTTGCGCAAAGAATGGCACGCATTATGTTGACATGTATGTCTGCATTGCTGCCTTTAAAACACGGATCTTGATATCATGATTACGAACGAGCATTGAGGCTGATTGATTGTTCTACATTGGCAACAGCACTGGTGAAGTTTCATGGGTGCACGAAATGATTGAGAAGCACCATGAGACTGCGCAATCGACAAACGCAATTGTGAGCCCCTCCCATTACCTCAATTGATTCCATGATCAGTAGGCGACCGGCCAGCTGACGCAAACTCCTTTCCTGCTTTTCTCCATGCAGCTGATCTCTTGTTGTGGCATGGACAGTGTCCCTGCAGATTGCCTCGCCTACCTTCTAGCAAGGATCCTACACACAAAATATTCAGTCCATCCACAACGCATTACCAGCTGTGTCTATGACATCAAATCTGTCCCCAGCGGTGGAACATCTGCGTCTATCCTGAGTGAGGTATCGCGGTCGGACTTGAACCTATTCACCAACTCCGGCGGCCCGCACAGGCTATCTGCCACACCACCAGCTCACCCACCGACGAAGGGGTGGGTGGAAACAATATTTGGCATCAAGAGTGAAAAAGAATTAGGAACATTGACGACCTATCCAATGGCTATCTGTGACGATGCTATCGTCAATCGAAGCATTTCCCTGGAGCCCGAACTCTACGGTATGACGAACTTTAGCCAGCATCTTGCCGTGAGAAATCCGATTGTTGGGTCGTTAATACATCTTGGTGTTGTTGTTGGTGCTTTGATTCTCAAGTTCCCACCCGCCAAGTACCTTGCTCGCAAGATGATGTTTGGTCCCGGTGGTGGTGCCGATGCTGACGCGGCTGCTCATGACTTTGTCGAGCTTCGCGCTGTTGCGGTCGGTGAACAGTCAGTGGAGGTCGATGGGAAGACTGAGATCAAGGAAGTAAGAGCCCAGGGACGGTATAGGTACAACGGAGATCTGTACTACATGACAGGATTGCTTGCCTCAGAAGCGGCCAGAACTCTCTTGGAAGACGAGCAATTAGTTAAGGAACTGGGTGGTGGATATCTCACCCCGGCGATGCTGAAAGAGGGGTACATCGATAGGATGAGGGAGGCGGGGTGTATCTTCGAGACCCAAATCGTCGAGCGCCAGGATAGATCGGAGTGAAGAGGGATACCCTTAGGTTGGAAAGCAAATGAATGGGAAGGGTGAGAAAATATTAATGGCTGCTACACACGAACACCATCAAAACACATATCTATTTCACATTTTGATTGCCGTTAAAAGTCATGTGACAAAGGTACTTCATCAATACTACTTACTGCCTAACACTTACCGATGATGCCTGACCCAATGTACACAATTGATTTCAGAGCATTGCTCCGTTATCCTCAACCACCCCTTTGATCCACCTCCCAAGTATACCATTGACTTCTTCAGGCTTGTCCCACAAGACCCAGTGTGCGGAGTCTATCGTGCTTTTCGTGAGCCTCGGTAAATGCTTCTCCATGTTGCCCCACGTTGACGGCCCCAAAACAGGGTCTCTGGTTGCGCCGATGAAGAGCACGGGGACGTTGATTATTTTGTCAACGACAGAAAGGTCATTTTTCCAATTGACCCGACGGGTACGGTAGTAATTTACTTAAGGGCAGTCAGTTTCCGGCTGGTGGAACACTAGAATGGGACACGAGAAACCAAGAGCTTTACATGAACCGTGAATGCCATTCCGTGAATATTCAGTAACGTAGTAGTCCATTTCCTGGATACGCGAGATCAGCAAATTAATTAATTCGATAGAGGTACGGCGATCGGAAGCTGACCTCCTCACTGAGCAACGGAGTTGGTTGAACTCTCTCTATCCGGTCAAATAAGATGCCTTTCTGAGTTGCGAAGGCACCACCCCCACCATTGTCCGTTTCAAGCCAACCGCCGTACATTGCATTCAGAGCTTGCCGGATTTGCGCTGGAGTTTGTACTTTCTTCTCAACCTCACCACTGCTCAATTGCAATTGGTAGCCAAATTGCTTGCCCTGAGGAAGCTTGACAAGGTCTGCGGTATGCACGTATTGTTTCGTGGGAGGAGTGTAGGGAGTGCAGACCGTGAAGATATGGGATGCGAATTCAGGCTCGTAAAGAGCAATGCGCTGAACAATCACTCCGCCCCTAAATGATAAGGTCAGAAGACGATTAGAGCAAGATGATGATGATGATGATGATGATGATGATGATGATTAGGCCCATACCAATCATGGCCGCCCAGGATGGCCTGTGAAGAGCCAAGCTGTCTGGCAAGTTCCTTAATATCTGAAGTAATCTGCTTGTAGCTATACTTTTGCTCGTTCTCAGGACACCATAGAGGTGCATCCTAATTCGTGGAATTGACACAGTTGGTAAGCTAAGTCAGCGCAAAGCCATGCGCTAGAGATCGCAAGAGTCTAAAACGACTCTCGCCCTACCGTACGTCCATAGCCCACCATGTCAGGGGCGACAACCCGGTAACCTAAGGAGCGTAAGAAGGGAATCTGGTATCGCCAGCCCATTGAAAGGTCGGGAAAGCCATGGACCAGAATGATAGTTCCCTTATAGGAACCGCACTTGGGCACAGACAGCAGATATCCTGTAGGTAGTGTATTAGCAATGGATTTCTCTAACCTTGAGGCATAGCCAAGCATGCTCGGCGATCAACGTGACTCTCCTCACCATATCTTGTCCCATTGAGGAAGGTCTGGCACTTTTGGATACGAGGGTCACCTTCCACTCTGACTTTATCGACATGGGAGACCATTTTGCATAATCACAGTGCATTTGCATCAAACGCTTGCGATGGTGAAAAACTGTCAAGAGGCGTCGCATATCCCTTTTTCATTTGACATTGAGTCTACGTCAACCGAGAGGGGTTTGTCACAGCGGATATGCATATGCATCGCGATCCGCGGCTATATTGACCAACAAGCAAGATATGAAGTAACTCAGTGCTCGCCTTGACTAAAACAGTGTTCATTTACTTGTCAGACAGGCTGTAACCTTTGCAGCGGAATGAGAACACACTCCACCGCATACATTTGAGACAACATCATCGTGGCACCATGGCGGCCAATTCACAGAACACCAAAACTACACAGTGCGCAATGTTGGACTCGCGAGCCCTTGACCGCCATCAGAAAGACATCAGTGATGGGGAAAGTGACACTATCATGAACGATGAAGAGGTTTTGAGAAAAAAAAAAAAGCATCGATCGACGCAGGATTCGAACCTGCAATCCTCCGTACCGGAAACGGAAGCCTTACCATTAGGCCAGCCGACCATTTTTAATTGACTGAATTATTAATCACTAGAGATTCCGTACCAAACACTTTAAGGACGTGCCGAGGGCAAGACCTCCCGACCGCGGCGGGGCAGGGGCACAGGGTGAACTCAGTATTGAACCGGATATGAATCCGAGGACTGTCACTTGATAATAATAAGCTGTTGGGAGATGTACAGCTCACAACCTGACATTATTTTACTAAAGTAGATTAGTGTCCTGCTAATACTACTTATACTTAAAATCACATAATGGAGTGAGTGACATTTGAGTGTATCTAGAATACACTGTGAGTGGTGGTGGTGGTGTGAGGAATGCCACATCAGCAGACCTGGTTAAGTAGGATTCTCTACGGGGGAAGCAAGATTCGAACTGCGCACTTTGTGGTGAAGTCCAGGAAGCCTGTCAGGGAAGCGCATAACCACTGCGCCATCCCCCCTTTTCCCCGACCAGTTTTGGTTGATTATCAGATCTCTTGTTATACCATTTACCAACCCGTACAGGTCGAAGGACGTGCCGGCGGGAGGGTGCTGGGATCGACCGATTTTAATAAGAGTAGCAGCTACAAGAATATCTTAACGCACTAAAAACATCACACATCAGGAGGTTCTCCTTGGCTTCATTTCCTACAAGTTCGAATGACATTATAGGCATTGACGGTTTCGGAATCATTCCTCCCAGGGCGCCAATTCATGGGACGCGAAAACATACGGAAAAGTGAACTGGGCGGAGCGAGTAAGCGAGATATGGTTATAACGCGCGCGAACCACGGCGTCTAAGAGTCCACGCCGTGAAGAGTCATTTTCATGAACTTACTTCCCATCAACCTCACAGAACGGCTATTGACAAGGAGTGCCTTTCGTATCATCATACTTTTCGCATCACGTCGATTCGGACGCTGAGACTTGACTGTCCACACACTGCCAAGGCGTGCCCGTGTTTCCTCCCCTCTCCATTAAAGTCGGATAGCGTGGTCGTCAGACCATCGGCCCACCAGGCTAAGTGCGGCAAAAGGGATCATTAACTGAACGGGTTCAATTGCGAAGATTGCGCATAATTGAGCTTTATACGCGGTGCTGCTGTCATAGCTAGCCTGGCCCAGCTTTGTCTACGCTTCCGGCTCCACGCTGGAAGTCGTTCCCAGCGCGTCTGCCACTAAAGGACAGTCACAATAACTCATATCTCATCGCATACCGGGAGTAATATATTTTCTACTTCTTTGGCAATGGCTCGAACAAGTCGCCAATCGGCGGCAAAGACGAGATCAAAAGCACCAAAAAAGGCAACTCCACCACCACTCCCATCTTCCTCTTCGTCTTCGCCTTCGCCCGGACCTTCTTCCCCTATAAGGCCACCAGATCTTGACAGCGACCATCGCGAGGGTGATAGCAGTTCATTTACGCAGCTTCGGTTCAATCAACCGCTATCATGGCGCGCCGGTCGCGCCATTCCTGTGGCGGAATTACTTAAGCGCCTAGAAGCTCTCGCTCAGGAACTCCGCCAATACGAACAGGAAGAACTGGATATATTCTCATTGACAAATGTTTCACGCGAGCTCGCCAGCGGACATCTATTGGCACATCGGGACAAGGGTGTCAGAGCCTGGACTGGTTGCTGTATAGTAGACGTGCTGAGATTGTGCGCACCCGATGCGCCTTTCACTGGGAATGAACTGAGGGATATATTCACTGCCATTATAACATCCATCATTCCGGCTCTAGCGGACCCGGCGAATGCTTATAACGAGCAGCACATTTACGTTTTGTCTTCCCTAGCCGAAGTCAAGTCTATCGTTTTGCTGACAGATTTGGACAACGCGGACACTCTAATCCTCTCCCTTTTCTCATCATGCTTTGATATCGTCTCTGGATCCACTAAGGCCTCTACTGGCGAGGAACTCGCTAAGAAGGTCGAGTACGATATGATAAGGCTGCTCGTTCCTGTCATTGACGAGGCGTCAACTTTGACTTCCGAGGTCATCGACGTGATCATTGCTCAATTCCTGCGTGTGGACCCCCGAGCATTGGGGATGAATAGTGGCACGGGCAAAGGTGGTGGGAAGAAAACAACTGCACCGCTCGACCCTAAGCAGAAAACTCTACTACCGAAAGAATACCCTCCCGCATATAATATAGCAAAAGCGATATGCAGTGCTTGTCCGGAAAAGATGACTAGTTATGTCAGTCAGTATTTCAACAACGTCATCCTCGATGCATCGGCAACATCAAAATCGCTGAATGGAGCTAGCAGAAGGGCTCATAATGCCGCCGTCGTTGCCGGTGTTTTCAATGACTCAGAAGACGAGGCTGAAGATATTAAGGAGTTGAGCAAAGCGCATCGCTTGATTCGAGAACTTTGGCGCGCCTGTCCGGATATTCTTCAGAACGTGGTTCCACAGATTGAAGCTGAACTGTCTGCAGAAAGCGTTTCCCTAAGGTTCCTTGCAACACAAACTGTTGGAGATATGATCTCAGGTATCGGCGTTGCTGGACCTCCGCCTCCCCCTTCATTGGATCCTGCTGCATACCCACAGGCCAAGTTTGGGGGCAATGATGGCGGTAGTGCCGCTTCTAGAAGGGGATTGCAGAGTGATGGGAATGTACTTCTGACTCCGCTGAGCCCAAAACCATTTTCACAAGTGCATACGAGTACTTACAATTCATTCCTGAGCCGGAAGCAGGACCGTTCGGCTGTTGTTCGGACGGCATGGACAATCGCTATCGGGAGAATCATCCTGACAAATGCCGGCGGGGTTGGATTGAGCAACGCGGATGAGGCTGAATTGATAAAAGGACTCGCAAGAATGTTGGCCGATGCTGATGAGAATGTGCGCATCGCTGCTGTGGAGGTACTGGGAACGTTTGGCTTGAATGACATTGTGACGAAGATTGGCGGTGATGGCGGCATCGACGCCCCTGACTCAATACTTGCGGTTTTGGCAGAACGTGTCAAGGACCGAAAACAAAGCGTACGTGATGTCGCAATGAAGGTTCTTGGCCGGATTTGGGGTGTGGCAAGCGGAGAAATAGAAAAGGGGACAGAGCTTGTGGTCAAAGTGTTGAAAGACATACCAAGTCGCATTTTATCTTCATTCTATGCCAACAATCTTGAGATTGAAGTCTTGATCAACCGAGAGATGTTTGAATCGCTACTGCCATTGACATACCCGCCGATCAAGAGCAAAGGCAAGGGTAAAGATAAGGAGAAAACTGCCGAAGGATCTGAAATCAACGTCGACGCCATCAGAGTCAAGCGAATATTGACTCTAGCCAAGCATTTGGACGACAGGGCGAAGAAGGTCTTCTTCCTTTTCCAGTCCCGGCAACTGAATCTGGCAACATTCATGAGGTTCTTCATCACAGCGTGTGAGGAATATAACGGTGGGGTCATGGAGGCCAATGAGACCGAAACGAAGGAAAAGCTCACAAGAATAATCACTGCCATCGCCAAAACACTACCGGATGCCCCGAAGGCCTCGGCAGACCTTTGGAAATTCGCTATGCTGCACGATCGACGAAATTATCACCTGATCCGCTTCGCGATGGATGTCAACAGCGATTACAAGACTGTCGTCCGTGCCATTCGGGAATTGACGAAGCGTGTTGAGAGCAGCTCAAGCCCGCTTAGCAACTCATTCGATGCTTATTTGCTGCCACTAGTTTACAGAAGTTCTAGCCTTATATTCAACAGAAGCCATGTGCCACCAATCATGGAAATATCGCGGACGGATGAGGCAGGGCTGGGGCCAATCGCTCACGAGATGCTGAAAGAGATGTCCACTCATAACGCTGAGGTCCTCGAAGCGCACGTGGCTGATATCTGCAAGGATATTGAAAACGCAGCACCCGATGCTGATAATGAGGATAAGGGCACCCGTCAGGATATTGAACAATTGCTTAAAGCCTGTGCCGGATTCGCCAAGAAGTTGCCTGCCAAGATTCCCCAGGAGAGAAAGTTCATGATAGCGCTGGCAAACTATGCGATGTACAGCTGTAGTCCGAAAGCTGCGAAACATGCTGTTTCGACTCTGATCGCAGCATCTGACAAGAAAGAGATGTATGCAAAAGATTTAGTCAAGAAGAGCGTCGACGGGTGGAGGTATGGAGAGAAGGGGTTTTTGACCAGGCTGGCTACCATGGCACAGCTCAATCTCTTGACGCCTGGCATAGCTGATGAAGCTGGTGATCAAATAATAAACATCGCAACAGAAGAAATACTTCTGAAAAATCGCAGTGGTCAAGCTGAGGGGAATACTGAATATAGTTGGAGCGAAGAAATTGATGATGAAACTGCTGCTAAGATGTGGGCATTGAAAATTTTGGTCAATCGCGTTCGCTCGAAAGAAAGTTCAAGCGACGAGGAAGATTTCAGGAGATTTGCGTCACCGGTTTGCTCCCTGTTGACTACATTGGTAGTGAAGAATGGTGAACTATCTAAGAAAGAAGATACGCCGGCAACACAGAAATCACGATTACGCTTGTTCGCTGCAAACTTGATACTCAAGCTTTGTAGTTCAAAAGTCCTTTGTGATCGAATGTTCGAAGCTGCCGATTTCAACAATATCGCTCTCATGGTTCAAGATCCTCTGTTCCCCGTGCGTTCAATGTTCATGAGCCAACTGAAGAAGCGATTGACGCAATCGTCGCATCTAGGAATGCGCTGGTATACAATTGCTTTTCTGCTTGCATTTGAACCTGACATCAATCTCAAGGAAAGCACATTAACGTGGTTGAGATCACGGACAGTCTTCTTTGCACGACAATCCAGAGTTGAGCAGCAGACGGTAATGGAATCAATGGCATCCAGGCTTCTTTCCATACTCGCTTACCATCCGGATTATCCTGCCGAATCTCTCGGCGAGGGGGAAAAGATTGAAGAGCTTTCCGACTTTGCTCGTTACATACTGTTCTACCTATCTGCGGTTGCAAACGAAAATAACTTGTCTCTGATCTTCCATATCTTCCAGCGGGTTAAACAAGTTCGTGATGCAGTGACCAATAAGGAACATATTTCGGAGCGATTATACACCCTCTCTGATCTAGCGCAAGCTACAACTCGTCGTTTTGCAGACGTCTACTCACAACAGCATAAAATTGGCGGTATCGGCGCGCAGACAGTGAACATCCTGCAGACGTACCCGGGCAAGATGAAATTACCAAGCAGTCTTTTTGCCAACCTAGCATCGCACACATTAGCGCAGGAAATTGCTGAGAAGAATTTCTTGTCGGAAGAGGTTGATGATAAATTGGACAAAATTGTCAGGGTTTTCATGAGGCCACCAAAGCACAACCAGCAACCTTATGGACTAGCGCCACGGTCACTCAAAAAGCGCAAATCCGAAAACTCAGAGAGCATGGGTGTAGCTACAAGCGGTAGTGGGAGACCTGGATCACCAAAGCGCGTGAAGAAGAACAAGCAAAGAACCTTGACAGGACGCAC